TTAGAATGTTCTTAACATGTATTAAATAATATGAATTAAAAAGTTTAAAATAAATACTTTATAATCAATAACTACTGTGTAAAATAATATTACTCCTTATTGGAGATAAAATGGTGACTTACACAAATGTTCCATATGGCACTGTAAAAATCCATTCCTAATATCTAGTTCTATTACATACAGATATACTTTGTAGTATAATGCCTAAAAAATTTCAACTACCCCAGGATCAATTCAAATTCTTTTCCTATTTTATAGATATCTCTTAAACTATTCATGGATTGACTTGTACTCTTTTTCTCAAATCCTTCTTTGATTATAATCACCAGGAATTTTGTTTGCATTAATTTTAAATGTCACCTATAAATCAGAAAGGATATACCTGAAATTACTGTAGTTGAAATAACTGCCCCAACATTTGAAAACAAGAATGGTTAATTAAATAAGCAGCCCACTCATGATGACTACAATTGAGATCTTTCCATTAGCAGTAATCGGAATTGTGGCAATTTACAGACACTAAGTTCACTGTGTTCTAAACTTTAAAATTTAATAATTCGAAATGAAAGAGGATAAAGGCTAGTATTAACTTGCTGGAAGTCTTTTAAACTTGAGACTTACCAGAATTTAACTACAAGAGAATACCTTAAATCTTTATTATTTTACAATTACAGAAACACTAAGTAGAAAACACAGGCTCTTACCACTTCCATGAGTCTACATATTACAGAATTGCTTCTGTGTGAAGCCAGTAAGATTCAGTCTCTAGGTATGAGCTTCAATCATGGAATAAAAGTGAAATCACAAAATATTCTAAATACTACACTAAAGATGCATTGAGGACCTTAGTCTATTTCTACTATAACTTCATCTGCTTTATCTTCACACCAATGCAGAATATACTGTCCACAAAGGATACAGGATTTTCTTGACATTTTAAGATGTAAATTTTTCTAGAACATAGTTGTAACATAAACAATGCTGTCAGTATTATCTTTGAGAAAATTCACCTATCATTCAATAACTACTTCCATACCAAGAAGTAACGTTTCGTACTTCTCTGTATATTTTCCTCGGACCTAACATAATGAGACCCATGGTACAACAAGCATTCAAATACCAGCTGAAGGGAGAGATGGGGAAAAAATCATTTATAGAAATCATTTGAAATATATGGTTGTGTTATACTCAGAATTTCAAAGAAATAAATATGTATTATATGCACAACAGACATTCTCAAGGCAAAAGTTGTGTTCATATTCAGTAACTGTCAAATTTAGTTCAAAATCTCACAGAACTAATGCCATCAACCATTCTCAGCACTGCTGGGGCTAACTCATACTTTATGCAGAAAAGGCTACCACATGCAGATGAGAGTTGATTATATAAGATGACACTGAGATAATGTGTTCACACACTTTAAATATTACATATCTAATACTACTACATGCATATTATGTATATTACCTGCTTACCCTGCTTACTATAGGTGTATTGGTGAGAACAGGCTCAAGCTTACCTACAGAGAGGTAGCACAATATAAATTTTGGTGACCTACCTATCCTAAGTTATGTCACAGAAATATAATATAAAATATATTTTATATTATATATTATATTATTACTTTCTCAAGCCAGTTTTGATGGCTCAAGCATGCAAACCCACCATTAGAGAAACTGAGGCAGAAGGACGTTTATGGATCTGAGAGCAGCCTAAGCTATAGTGAGTTTCAGGCCCTATGTCTGAGCTACTTTTTGTATCCTAACAGGCTCATCAGCATTTTATGTTCCCTTCAAGATCACCTCTTCATGTATCTATCACATCCTCACTTAATTTTACAAGCATGTCCTACTAAGATTTAGTTTAAAATTCTTTAAGCGTGGGGTGGGGGGGGGCAAAAAGGTTCACCTCCCTATAGTTAGAACAAACATCTTCTGTCATCTCTAGGGTGTCATTCTAAATAGAGAAGATGGCCATCGAGATTCTGATTTCCCCAGAAGTCAACGAAGAGATTTATTTGGATAGTGACACTGAAAACAGCAGTCAGTTGGGCTATAAACTATGCAGGAAGAAAACAATAACCCTGTGGGCAACTAGAATGTTATTGGACACAATATAGTAAACATGTTCTAAATTATTCTATCCAAGAAGAAAGGTACTAGCATACATATAAAACAACTCCCCGTTTGCTCATTGTCACTCTAACTACCTCTTCTCCAGCCACGCTTAATGTCCAGTGTGCTCCTGGAATGACTGGGCAGGGTGAGGCAACGCAGAAGGTATTTGTGGAAGGAAGTTTAAAAAATAAGAACAGAGCCCTCAGTGCATTGGCTGGTGGAGAGAGTCTGCAAACTCCTTCATGGAAGTGTTTCTTCCTCAACTCCTTAGGAATTGAACCAACATATGAAGCTGAGTAGATCAAGCTCTCTGCTCGGACTTAACTGCAAAGAGGAACGTGTGCTCTTATCAAACAGAAGTGGCATGGCTTACCACATACAAGTTTAAGATCCTGAAACAGGAAAGAAAGAAGAGGGGGAGAAAAGAAGCACAACTGGGAATTGTAAGAGAACCAACATTTAGAAAGAAACGAGGGTAGAAGCCATGAATTTATCATTTACAGTTCAAATGGAAGAAACTCAAGGTTCCTTTTAGCTTAAGAGTTTTGAAGAATCAGAGTCACAAAGAACTTTAATGGAGTTATCTTGAATTATCTTTATTCTTATAAGAGATAGTATCCATGGCATGTGTTCAGTCTTCCAGAATCCTGGTTTCCTGGTTGCTGGAAAAACTGGCTAGTTTTCAGGGCAAGTATGAGAACTACTGCAATGTGCCACATTAGTCCTGTGCCATCCCAGCCTCCTTCTTGTCAATATTCCATGAGGTAAACATTTCTGAAGTACATACTCACACTATGAACATAAGATTGCTAAAGCTCAGAATCTCCAAATGACTTACCCAAGGCCACTCAACTATGGGGGTATAAGCAAAACACTGAAATCTGTTCTCTCTGACTGTAATGATCTCGCCTTCAAAGATTAATAACAAAATAAATGCCTTGCCTTGGTGGAGGTAGGAATGGAGGTTGGGTTGGGGGTAAAGCTGGGGGGCGGGAGGATGGAGGAGAGGGGGATCTGTGGTTGGTGTGTAAAATGAATAAAAATTTCTTAGTAAGAAAATAAATGCAATTTAACATTAATTTTTACAAGGTCTCCAAAATCAGTTTAATCTTCTAAACTCTTTGAACATCTAAAATGGTTCATCAATAGTAAATACTTCATTTCAATGATAAATGTAAGTAGATTTTTAAATTAAAGTTAAGCTGGAACAAAACCTTTTGCAAATAAAAATTTTAAATGACTGTGACCAAGTATTTTAAAGTGGCACACTGGCATATAAGAAGTGCAGCTACCCCCAGCTCTGTATCATTAAATACTAAGATAGAAACTTGATAAAAGTGAGGGCAACCACATGAGCAATTTGCATTTGGGATAGAGTTAAAATAAATAAATAACACTATGCCACTGTGGCCAACATGTGCTCTAAGGATTCAATCTACCTCTTACTTTCTATACAGATTTCTGTTCTAGACGTAATGAGCCTCAAGTCCCTAAAGAAATGTAAATCCCATCACCAGAACCCCTGTACTGAATTCTGTAAGTTGTTTCACTAGGACAAAATAGTTTATCTAAATGTCAGTAAGCACTGCAAACTCATTTAAACATCCATTTAATTATCCAGTTAACTCCAGTTAGTTCCAATTAACACCTTCTTTTAGATACATGGCAAATAACCCAAGAACCTGTTCTTTAACTTTCTAAGCAATATGCAAGGTTCTGCCTAAAGAGAGGAGAGTCAATGGAAACAGTAACCTCCACAAAGCATACATGCATATGTCATTAAGTTACTAATGTGAGACCTAGATAGATGCCCATAACTGAAGTCCAGGACAGAATCCCCAGACTATTGGGATATGAGTTAGTACTGGGAACCAAGAAAGTGATGAAAAAGCGGAGGGCATATTGCCCAGTGGTGAATGCAGAAGAGACTTCAGATTGGACCAATAATGGACCTTTCATCTAATTCAAATAGAACATTAATGTCAAACTGAACTTCAGGGGATCATTTAAGCTTCGCTGAGAGCTTAGTTATACATACATTACCTAAAAGCAAGAAAATGTGGCACGTGACATGTGAAATTACCATTCTAGAAAACGATTCAATGTAAAGTGTGCTTTAAAAAAAAAAACTATCGAGAGCATCTTGCAAGTTAGATTGCACAAAGCTTTAATGCCATTGATAAAAACACATAGGCAATGTTTTGCTAGTAATAAATATTTTAGCTTTGAAACTTATGTTATCATTTTTGAGATATGCAGGATTTAGGTGGAAAATATGATAATCATGCCACAAGAACCCCTGTTCGGTGTATTTTCTATTCCAAGCGTTCTTGCTTCACAAACTACCTGTTACATATTTAAACCAATTGCCCACCTGAACCAATTGCCCAACCTGAATATTTAAATGGCAGAAAATGCCCAGTGGCAAGCAAACATCTAGTCGAGACAACACTGACAAGGAGTAAGAAAGTGGGTGCAGGAGATTTTAAGTTTCTACTGTGATTTTTTTTTCAACCCCTTGGATACATGTATGGGGTGGATTAGCTACACCAAGGGAAAACAACGAGAAACATTTGACACTGAAACTGCGTGCCATTTGGATGGAATTGTACCTCTGCTTGCAGCAGCATACACAACCAGGGGAAGCACAGATAGACAGAGACTATCTAATAGATGCAACAAATGCTTCGGAAGAATGAGAAAGTGGAAAGGAAAAGAGTTCCTTGTCCACAGCGTTTGCTCTACAGTCAAAATGGAGAGGTATAGAGTACCTTTTACTCCTTCAGAGCTGGTCTCCCTTTCTCTCCCTCCATCCTCCCCACATCCCTCCAGTCTTGTCCCCTTGCAAGCAGTATTTGTGGAACATTGCACCAGGCCACTCACCTGTCATCATTCTGCCAGCCTTGGTCCCCTAGCAGCAAATCCCGAAATCTGTACCTGGGAGGCAGAGGGGGCACTTCGCTCTCCAAATCAACCATCCTTCCTTAAGGAGTAGGCAACATCCAACGAGATGGGGCAGCGAGGGGCAGCGAGGGGCAGCGAGTGCTGCAGAGGGGGTGCCCTGCTGAGGAAGGTAGGAAAAGGGCCTGGGGGGACCCGGCGGGGGAGGGGTCGCTCGGCCGGAAGCTGAGGCTGGAAAGGGGGCTGGCTCCTCTTCCCCGAGGGTGTGATGGGGATGATGCAAACCTAGCCCAGGAGCAAAAGTCTGGCTGCGACTCGAACCGGCGCTGCCAAGGAACCGCCCCCAGGCTCGGCGCCGCCTCTGGTCCCTGGGACCGTTTGGGGTTGGGGGGTGGGGGGTGGGGGGAGGCGGGAATGCAAAAGTTACTTCACCGACAAAAAAAGAAAAATCGCGCGGTGCCTAGAAAGAGGGCAGGTGGTGGGCGTGAGCGCCGCGTGATGGCCAGGCACTTTCCTGAAAGGCAGGGACCAGAGCCTCCCACCAGGGCATCCCCGGCGAGCAAAGGAGCTCTGGGCGCAGCCCCGCGGCGGGCGAAGGCGGGAGCAAAGGCGGTGGGCTCCGCTCTCCCCGCACAGGTCTTTCCAAGCACTTGCTGGAGGCCTAGCCAATGAGCCTCCCCCTCATTAGCATAACACAGTGACGGCATGAGGGTGCCTTGGGGACAACCAATGGGGGCGAGCTCATTAGACGGTCCCCCGAGCTCCAGACCCTTCTTGGGAAGAGGGAGAGGGGTCTGAGGAAGGCTCCCAAGTGTCACCAGCATCCTGGCTGTGGTCGCCTACAGCTTCTGGGGGCGTAGTGGGAATGGATTGTTCCTGGACAGGGAATCCCCGCTCTCAGCCCAAGGAAAGTCCTTTTTCCCCCCCGCCTCCCTTCTTACATTCTAAGAAAAAAGGAGGTGTTTCCCTGGTCTGAGGAAAATTGCAGGGCCACCCTTAGGAGGCAGCTGAAGGGAAATATTTAAATGAAAACCAGGAGAGCACCCCGGAAGCAAGGCAGGGCAAGACTCTACTGAGTAACTGTTGCTGGTGCGGCTGGGAGCCTGTGGCCTCCTAGGTGCCAATGTATTCCAAAAGAGGCGCTTCGCAAGGTCAGAGGAGAGCAAGAACTCAGGACTCCGAGCTGGCTAGTCGCCAGCACCCTGGGCTGTTCTCAACCCTACTGCCCTACTACCTCTGGTTCTACTCGCACACACTGGTTTTTCCTCCAGGAATGAATACCCCAAGGCGCATGCACACAGAAACAGCCACAGCCCACTGCACCTCAGGAAAGCAAAGACATGCACTGCTCTGACCCTGACTAGGAAATGCCAAAGTTTGTGCGTAGGAACAAGATCATCATTGTGAAAATGGAGCCACAATGGAGCCAACCAAGAGCTTAATAAACACACTTTTCCTGGGGTCAAGAAACACATTAAAATGAACCAGGCCTCGGCAATCTTAAAGTGAGGGTGGAAATAGGAAACAGTAAAATCAGGATCAGGTAAACTTTTTTTGCTCTCTTTTTATTATTGTTTCAGGGTTTTTTTTGGGGGGGGGTTAATTTGCTTATCAAAGATGTAGTAATTAATTCGTTTTGGTTCATTCTTAGTGGAGATCATTTAGGAGAGAAGTCATAAAGAAAGCTAAAATGAAGAAAAAAAATCAGCAAAATTGGTGTGAGAGCAGATGAATTAATAGTAGCAAGCAGAAGAAGCTGGAGCGATGGCTCAGTGGTTAAGAGCTCTGACTGCTCTTCCAGAGGACCCGGGATGAGTTCCCAGCAACCACATGGCAGCACATAACTGTCTGTAACTCCAGTTCCAGGGGACCTGAAACCCATGGCAAAACACTAATGCACAAAAATAAATAAATAAATAAATAAATAAATAAATAAATAAATAAATAAATAAATAGTAGCAAACAGTTGAAGGGGCCTGGCCATGTTCTCCGTGTGTCTTCCCCTTGCTGCTCTTTCCTCTAGACCTGGCTCCCACATCATGCCTCCTTTAGACTTTCCAGCTCTCACAAGTGAGGTGAGTGGGTTGCCTGCTTCCTTGGAACTCTCCATACTTCATTCTGCTAGTGGTGTCTATCGCCTCTGACCTCTTGAGTCACTATCTGTGTATTTTGAATGTCTTTTCTCCTCCTTTTTTTTTTTTTGTTCAGTGCCTTCAAAATGGCCCAATCTTGCCCCAGAAATGTATTGAGATACTAACAAAGGGAACACATGAAATAACTACCACGTGCTAGATTCAGGGTAAGTGAGATGTTTAAGATGGAGCCAGGCTTCTTATTTTCCGCTTTAGTGGTCCTCTTAGTTGAGACCTGGGTATCAGATAGCAGTGCAGCATAGAAAGACTCTGTTAGCAAGAGTGAGAAAAGATCTGTTTGGCTCCCAATGCTATACCCAGCTAGCCATTAAGGACAGCGATCGCTATGTCCTAGTGCACTCAGCCAAAACAGTTAAACATAGCTACGATAAGGGCTTGCTGTTTTTCTCTGTACCAAAAAGTGTGATCAGATTCAAAAGTTCCCAATTCTCCAACTTCAGGGAAAAAAAATTAAAGGATTGCTACAAAAAAAAAAAAATCTATTCTGACATTCTTAACATGCAGTAATCATGGGTATCAAATAAGTTTTGATATTTATAATGGAGAGATCTTTTTGCTCTTTTTTCCACTTTTAATGACAGACTGTTTCTTTTGTCATTAATTTTGGCTTCTAGTTCTCGAACCTGCCCTATACACTTTTTGTCCTTTGTTTCTTATCATGTCAATGCATTCCCTGCTGTTAACATATTTTCCGGTTCCGAGCTTTACCTTGGTTTCTCTCTCTTCACTGTGTGCTTCCAGTCTTTTATCTCATCTAGTCTTTTTCTCTGTGTATATGGGAAAGCTTTTATTCTACTATGACATGAGATTCAATCTGGGGAAATGAATTCAAACTTAATGCTGCACATTACATTCCTAAACTATGTAATCCTAGCTAGTGTTGTCAGGATTCCTATACATCTCCTAGTATGGATGAATAGCAGTAGAAGAGATTGTTCTCATTCTCTCGTTGTGTGTATATGCACACACACACACACACACACACACACACACACACACAAGAAAACATTAGTCACACACAACACATAAGCAATAGAGGAGCTTGGTCATAAGCATACCTCACCAAAAATGTTCTAAACAACTATGCTAATAAAGAGAATCAAATGAATGTTAATAATTCCTTGGTTTTTGAAATTTTAATTTTATTTTCTAGAAAACACATTTGAAAACATTTTCCAATTTCTTTATTTGACTAACAAATGTTATTTTCAAAATTTTTTCCTTTCGAATATGTTGATTATACAAATGCTTTAACACAAGAAAATATTAATTCCTATAAGTGAAGAATGGTTTTATTAACAATAACAATTTATTCATCTTATGCATAATTAACATAATTGCAGTCAGAGACTAAAATGGATAATTTTATCTAAAACTCAAAAATGATTTGTGTGTGTGCAAATGTATGTATATAGAAATGTAGTTAGACAGATACATAATTTATGGGCAAAATACACAAACTGTTATTTTCATGTCTACACAGACCTACAAGGACTATTGAAAAATAAAATTTTCAATAGACATGTCCTAGAGTACACAGAACAGCTAGAAGAAGGCCCTGGTGAAGGGCTGGAGAGATGGCTGAGCAGAGAAGAGCGCTTATAGCAGAAGAACAAGAATCTGAGTTTGATTTGTACACCCACGGTAAAAGCCGAGCAAAGCAATATCCCAACCCACAAACTCCAGTGGGGAAGCTCCCTGCTACACCAGAGGCCACACTAGCCAACAGAACACCAGGTAATCCCCTCACCTGCTCACTGCTCCCACTCACTCAGTGCCCAACCCACCTACCCCCAACTACTTCTCCTTTTCTCATCACCACATCCAGGCACACAACTCCAGGAGAAGGCCCCTGCTCCACCATAGGCCACACCAGCAAGCAGAACTCTAGGTAGGCCACTTGCCTGAAAACTACCCCTACTCTCTCAATGCCCATCCACCTTACCCAAACCCACCCCTCCCCTCCTTGTCCAGTCCCCCTGTGCCAGCAGAGGCCCCTTGCTTAACCAGAGGACTCACCAGGCACCAGAACGGCTGGCAGGCCACCCACCTGGGACTATCCCCACTCAATGCCTGCCCAGCCTACCCCCAGTGGCCTCAACACTTCCCATAACCATATATAGGCTCCTACCTCCTGTGGAAGATCGCCCCCCCCCCCACCCCGGCTGGACCAGAAGTCATACCAACTGCCAGAACTCCACCCCCAACTCAAGTGGAAACCCCCTGCTGGACCAGAGGCCACCCTGGCCAAAAGAAATCCAGCCCCTAACTCAAGTGGAGACTCACTACTCAACCACAAGCCACTACAGCCTGAACACCAGAGAAGAAACAGAAATCAATGAACAAAGACAAACTCAAAAATCGGCACCTACACCTATAATCACACCAAACCCAGATGTCTGGACACCAGTGTAAGAACACAATCAACAACAGCCAAGGCAATATGTCACCATCAGAGCCCAGCTATCCTATTACACCAAGCCCTGACTATTCCAACACAGCTGAAGCACAAGAAAACGACCTTCAAACCAACTTTATGAAAATGATAAAGGTCATTAAAGATGAAATGAATAAATCTTTTAAAGAAAGCCAAGAGAAAAAAAAAACAGTTGAAAGAAATGAATAAAACTGTTCAAGACCTGAAAATGGAAATAGAAACAATAAATAAAACACAAACTGAGAAAATTCTAAAAAACAGAAAATCTAGGTAAGTGAACAGGAACTACGGATGCAAACATCACCAACAGAAAACAAGTGGTGGAAGAGAGAATCTGAGACTTTGAAGACACAATAGAAGAAATATATAAATCAAAGAAAATGTTAAATCTAAAAAAATCCTGACACAACACATCCAGGAAATCTGGGACATTATGAAAAGACTAAACCTAAAAGAAAAACAATAGGAGTAGAAGAAGAAGTATCTCAGATTAAACACCCAGAAATATTTTTAACAAACTCATAGAAGAAAATTTTCCTAACCTAAAGAAGGACATGCCTATAAAGGTACAAGAAGCTTACAAAACACCAAATAGATTGGACCAGAAAACAAAGTCCCCTTACCACACAGTAATCAAAAAACTAAATATACAGAACAAAGAAATAATATTAAAATCTGAAAGGGAAAAAGAGCAAGTAACATATAAAAGTAAATGCAGAACTATTAGAATTACACCCAACTTCTCAATGGAGATTCTAACAGTCAAAAGGGCCAGGATATATGTCCTGCAGACTCTTAACAGACCACAGATGCCAGCCCAGACTAGTATACCAGCAAAACTTTCAATCACCATAAATGGAGAAACAAGATATTACATGATAAAGTCAAATTTAAATAATATCTATCCACAAATCCAGCTCTACAGAAGGTATTAGAAGGAAAACTCCAACTCAAGGAGGTGAACTACACCCACGAAAACACAGGAAATAAATAATCTCACACCAGCAAAATCAAAAGAAGGAAAACATACACACACACACACACACACACACA